GGGCGCTGTAGGTGCAATAGTTTTCGCACAATTCTATTTGTTTATAACGGAGGCTCCAAAAGTTATGAACTTTAAGCCTCTGTACTGGCGTTAATTTTCAACCAAACATGATTCTGAAAGCGTCATTGTAATCTTAAAGACGTAATTAAGCGACCTATTAAAAAAATATCACCGCTTTTTTGACATTAACAGTCACAAATTGTGCATTAAAAAATCGTGCGTTTTTCGCTTATAAACAATTTGAATAAAATTGTTGCTATTTATGCTACCTCACCGAAAATAGATGCAATGGATAGCTGGCAAAAAAATACAGTTTTAAAATAAAAAAGTACCCTCTACGACCAACCGGAGAAGTTCAAATTGATGCGCGCTGTAAAATTTGCAATATCTCGACTTCTATTCATCGTAGAAACTTCTTTTTTTAAACTGGGGTAGCTTTACGAATTCGTAAAATAGCCCTGAACCCCAAACAAAAATTTAACAAAAATTATTGTTAAACGAAATATTAATTAAAATTTTAATTTCGGAATTATTTTACTATTATTAAATAAATAAATGAAACTATCGTTCATTTAAAAAGTTATTTTTCATAAAAATAGAAAACATTTTAAATTTTTATTATTGTATTATATTGCATTATATCTATTATTGAAAATGGCTGTCATTAATATTTTTTGAATTCATTTTGATTATTATTAAAAATTTTTTGTATAAAATTAATAATAAATATTATAAAAAAACTTTGTATATTAAAATTTCAAGAAGTTAAAATTGTAATTTTATCGACAGCACTGTTTTTATAAATATTTTTTAATTTTGAGAATTTTGCAATAAATTCAAATGCTTTTTATTTTTTTTAAATCTTTTAACAATAAATAATAATTTGAAAATAATTTGTGACTTTTTACTTTAATTTTACATTTAAATCGTAATTAAATAGCTAACAAAATATTGAAAAAACAAGTTTACTTTGCCTTAATATGTAAAAAAATAACTTTTTAAATGAACGATAGTTTCATTTATTTATTTAATAATAGTAAAATAATTCCGAAATTGAAATTTTAATTAATATTTCGTTTAAAAATAATTTTTGTGACATTTTTGTNCTTCAAGAGTAACAATCATTCTATCAAGCAGGTAGATGTTACAACCAACCAGTCGGCAAGAATACTCTTTCTATGATTCCTAATAAGATTGCACAGTTTTTTAAAACTAGAACATCCTGAAACATATACAGGCCATTCGTTCCGAAGAACATCGGCAACGCTACTGGCTAATACAGGAGTTGATGTATTCGCAATCAAGAGACATGGTGGATGGAAATCAGCCGCAATTGCAGAAAGTGGCAGTTAGTAAAAGCGAGGGGAATAATTATCCAGATTTTATAAATGTTACTAAATGTAATAACTGTACAATTACTATAAATATTCATTCATAATAATTAATAAAACGTAATGTTCATCAAATATTTGTACAGTATGCCATGTACTTGGAGCTGCTACAGTTTATTGTACTGATTTTTATACGGGGTGTCCTACAAATACTTACTCGATGATTCTAGCCTTGAAAATTGTAGAATATCAATTTTTATTCCAAAAACATTTGATTATGCGGATCTTAGACTAATTTGTTTATATTGACATCGTCTTTTGTTGTTGCAGCACGCCAACGCAGTCAAAGCGCAGGCGCAGGAGTACGTGGAAAAGAAGCAGGCCAAGAAGATCATGCTTAGGTCAATCACGGGGTCTCTAGCCACAGCCCAGGCCCTGGTCAGGATTCCAGACGTCAAGTACTTCAACACCGCCAAACCGGGCACATTTTTTGCTAGGTGAGCCCTTTTCCCGCACCATGACTTAAATTTTTCTCAAAATGTGATCGGGTTTTGACGTTTTTCTTTATTTTCCAGAGATAACGTTAGCAATTTCATTAATTGGTGCCGATACTCCTTGGAGATCATCGAATGTCTTCTGTTCGAGACCGACGACTTGATTATGAGAAAGAACGAGAAACACGTCGTCCTCTGCCTGTTGGAGGTGGCCAGAAGGGGGGCAAAGTAAGCTCTTTCATTTAAAATTGACCACAAAAACTACGTAAAAAATTGTTCCCTAGGTTCGGCATGCTGGCTCCTATGCTGGTACAGATGGAGAGACAGATAGACAGGGAAATAGCGGCTGATCAGAAGAAACTGGGCGTAAATGACGGACTAGAGAACCAGAACGGCCTAGACGATGACAGTGACAGCGATATTGAAGACGAAGAAACGGTACTCATGTACGGGCCCGTACCTCAGATCGTCACCAACGACCTAAAGAGCTTGGACGAAATGGTAAGTGACTTTCCGATTTAAAGTAAGTGATTTAAGTAAAGAATGAAATTTTCTTGCGATCTCAAAGCGATGTACCCCAAGGTTCCGTAATTGGACCACTTTTGTTAAATATACAAGGCAGCCCATCAAAAACGTACCGCAAGGCATTACAGGGTAGTAAAGAACTTTTCGGCAAAGTCCAAAAACAGGTCAAATTTGTTTCTGAGGGGGACAACTTTTGGCTCAGAAAGCATACCAAAATCTTCAACCCCCTAAGTGGGGGTGCTATCCCTTAAATCTTTTCAAATGGGAATGGGGGTCAAGTGGGGGGTCATTAGAAAGGGCTTTTAATTCTCTATACATCGATTCTTACTTTTTGAAAATCGATTCATTATTTTAGAAAATATGCAGCTTTGAAAATACGAGCAATATTTTTGACGAGAAATGCGAAAATCGATTTAATTTTACTTCAAAACTTACGGTATTAGTCGAGTAAATGCTGAAAATGTTGTCCGCCAACTTGCATACAATGATACAGGTTGTCTTCAAACCGTTGTCGAACATTCTGGAGCACTTGCGGTGTTACTTCGCGACATACATTAATGATTCGTCCTCGCAGATCTTCCAAGGTATCAGGTGGAGTGCTGTAAACTTTGCTTTTAATGTGCCCCCAGAGAAAGAAATCTAAAGGATTTAAGTCGGGTGACCGAGGGGGCCACTCAATTGCACCTCTTCGTCCTATCCAGCGTCCTGGAAACGTCTCATTTAGGTAATTGCGCACATTGANCTATCAAGCAGGTAGATGTTACAACCAACCAGTCGGCAAGAATACTCTTTCTATGATTCCTAATAAGATTGCACAGTTTTTTAAAACTAGAACATCCTGAAACATATACAGGCCATTCGTTCCGAAGAACATCGGCAACGCTACTGGCTAATACAGGAGTTGATGTATTCGCAATCAAGAGACATGGTGGATGGAAATCAGCCGCAATTGCAGAAAGTGACAATTAGTAAAAGCGAGGGGAATAATTATCCAGGTTTTATAAATGTTACTAAATGTAGTAACTGTACAATTACTATAAATATTCATTCATAATAATTAATAAAATGTAATGTTCATCAAATATTTGTACAGTATGCCATGTACTTGGAGCTGCTACAGTTTATTGTACTGATTTTTATACGGGGTGTCCTACAAATACTTACTCGATGATTCTAGCCTTGAAAATTGTAGAATATCAATTTTTATTCCAAAAACATTTGATTATGCGGATCTTAGACTAATTTTTTTATATTGACATCGTCTTTTGTTGTTGCAGCACGCCAACGCAGTCAAAGCGCAGGCGCAAGAGTACGTGGAGAAGAAGCAGGCCAAGAAGATCATGCTTAGGTCAATCACTGGGTCTCTAGCCACAGCTCAGGCCCTGGTCAGGATTCCAGATGTCAAATACTTCAACACCGCCAAACCGGGCACATTTTTTGCTAGGTGAGCCCTTTTCCCGCACCATGACTTAAATTTTTCTCAAAATGTGATCGGGTTTTGACGTTTTTCTTTATTTTCCAGAGATAACGTTAGCAATTTCATTAATTGGTGCCGATACTCCTTGGAGATCATCGAATGTCTTCTGTTCGAGACCGACGACTTGATTATGAGAAAGAACGAGAAACACGTCGTCCTCTGCCTGTTGGAGGTGGCCAGGAGGGGGGCAAAGTAAGCTCTTTCATTTAAAATTGACCACAAAAACTACGTAAAAAATTGTTCCCTAGGTTCGGCATGCTGGCTCCTATGCTGGTACAGATGGAGAGACAGATAGACAGGGAAATAGCGGCTGATCAGAAGAAACTGGGCGTAAATGACGGGCTAGAGAACCAGAACGGCCTAGACGATGACAGTGACAGCGATATTGAAGACGAAGAAACGGTGCTCATGTACGGGCCCGTACCTCAGATCGTCACCAACGACCTAAAGAGCTTGGACGAAATGGTAAGTGATTTTCCGATTTAAAGGTTCAGTAAAGAATGAAATTTTCTTGCGATCTCAAAGCGGTGTACCCCAAAGTTCCATCCTTGGACCACTTTTGTTAAATATTTATGTACTTGTTTACAAAATAGCAAGGTCCACTTTTATGAACACTCAGAATTATTTTTCACTCGAATCAAAAGAAGTAAATCTTTCTAAAATTGCCTTAAATGTTATTAGTCGTTTGATTGAATTGTCTGTCAAACATCACCTTGACATCAATGGAACAAAATCTATAGTGATATTCGGTAAACATAGAAAAAGAGTTTAATGTTAATAGTGAGGCCGAGAATTTACAGTGTACCAAGTAAACTTTAGACGCAGACTTACGTTTCAAAAAACACAACACACAAAAGCTCTACTGAAAAGTTACAAAACTCTTGGTTAAGGTTCATTTATGGCTTCAAGAAGTTTATTATAAACTTTCAAAGTATAACGAACGTTCGGTTGAGACCGCTGGACGCAGGAATGGTTCGATCGGACATATTCACGGTTCGTTGTGTAGGTTGGACGTATCTCCGTCGAATAGAGGAAATGAACGTGAAAATTAAGTTTTCTAAAACACTAGGGTTTGCGTGTAAGACAGGCTGATCGATATATGATTTTCAAATGCAAAATTTAACAATGACGTAATAAATTGGGGTGAATACAGCGTTTTCGGTAGTTTTCAGAGTTGTTTTGTGATTCTTTTTTTCGTTTTATCGATTTCGAGCTACAAGGGGACTATTAATTTTTGGATATTTTCACTATTTCATGAAAACTACGTTCATTTCCAATGTGGCAAAAGTTAGTGGTGATTTCTACACAGGCTGTCCCAGCAAAGGCAGTAAGGCCAACACAGCTAAAATATTTAGAACTTTATGGTACTTCCGGTTATATCGGATGTCGACATTAATTTTCTTATTTTAAATGGGACACCCTATATATTATTGCATTTTCGGATTCTATCTGAAATTTGAGGGTCACTTTATTAAATATTCCCTATACCTAGGAGTTATAGATTTTGAGATATTAATTTTTAAAGAAAAAATTTGACAGATGCAAGTGCTAGTAATTTTTTTTAGGAGCGTGATATCAAGCGGGTTTTTGGTACCTGTAAAGGGCATAGGTGACACTAAATTATGGTATACCAACAAATTAAAACATTTAATACTAGGTGGTTCATTTTTGCTGTTACATTTTGATAAACTCAAACAGCTATAACTTAAATGGAACACCTTGTATTTTTTTACTCTGCCGTATGCAGATTGAAATTTCCTTTCAAGTCATATAAACATTGTTAGGGTTGCCGTTAGTACTTTTAGAGATATCCGCAATTTTCTATTTTTTGGACAGTTTTTCTCGTATCAGACTCGTTATCAAATTGGCCATGACCAGAAACACTCCAAAAACAATTAAAATAACAACATTTGTCAAGTTTATTGTCAAATTATTGTTGCGTTTGTAATAGTTTTGCCGAAAATTTAATTAAAGATGCCTTAAAGATCGTTCGAAGTATACTAATGAGGATTATTTTAATTTGTTTGTTATTTATGGAAAATGTGAAAGTAATTTCAAGAACATGTAGAGAATATTTTTATATTTTTCATTTCTTTCGCCATAAAACTTTAAGGCCTATAATTTTTTGCAGAAGAAAAGTAAAGAAAGGTTATACTATGTAAATATCCCTGTTGTACATGGTACGACCTCTTATTTCATACTTACCTTGCCGAGTTTGATCAGTTCGCGAATTTAATGTAAAAGTAAATAGTTTTGATAATTTTACAAGCTGTATAAACATTACAAACCTTTTAAGGTATCGTAAACAAAGGATTTTTTAATGCTGTAATCACCTCGATAAATATTGACGCAAATTTAAATTAACAGATAACACGGAATTATCGGAGTTTACTTTTTCTAGTCACTTTTCTAAATATAAGAATTATTTCTTCCAAATTACGACATTTTTTTTTTTAATTAATCACAAATTACCATTTTTAAACGCGCGCCCCTGCAATTCGTGTGAATTACTTGCAGTAAACCCACAAGTCGTCCCCAAGAGTACAACTTGACAATCTCAGGGCCCGATGAAGCATAAAGAGGCAATTTGCGTGATATTTCAATTTGCTTATGATCGCTCCCAAGCCTTTCCATAGCATTTTGCAACGAGTCGAGTGAAGTCGAGTCGAAAATGAGAACAAAACGCGCTACCTTTACTCTTACCGCGTTTAGTAACCTTACCTTAAAGCTCCCCAGACCGCGAAACGCTCCTCCGACAAATTAACTTATTGCTTCTAATGTCACAACGATTTGCAGCGGCAATTTGTAATAATTGTCAACACGGCGAAATGTCAGCAGAGAAAATGTTGCGCACTACGGGTTTTCTAAAGGCTTTGGCCTCGTTGTTTTTTTTTTCGAAGCGATGGGAGGCCGTTTATATCTAAACAAAACGTCTGAATTTGGTTAGAACACGGGAAAATGCTTCAACAAAGTAAAAAAAATGGTCACTTGACAATATTTACAAGTAACTCTACTGTTTTATTGGCAATAGTCGTAATAGTCCAGGAAAATAAGGAAAAAATGAGCGAACTTCTTTACTCTGAGGTTTTTTCCGCCTTTTTATGTCCAACTTTCCTGGACTATAATGCAATTAATGTCAGTGAAGGTTCTGACAATTAATAGATAGTAAAACTACAATAGCAGCATATAAAGCACCTGTTTACTAGTTTTATAACGGTTCCCAGCGGAGACAGTTCCAACAGTGAATGTACAGGGCGTTAAAGAAAAGTGTAAGCAGAGTACCAAGAGATAAGAGGGTGGGATGTTATCATGCATTTAAAATCGCTGTCTTGCGTTATCTAGTGTTAAAAGGGAGGGTTTTCTATTACTTTATCTAAAATTATCTCTTCTTCTTCGGGTATGGTCTTCCAGAATCCATAGGGCTGTTACCAAACATTCCATCCTCTTGGGACTGCTCGATGAAGTACGGTGAGAAAAAGGAACTGGATGCTTAGGATAC